TTATTCTAAAGTAGTATCATCTTATCCTTAATGTATATGTACTTTTCCTTACTCAATGTACTGATGTCTGTCTTTCAATACATAATGTAGCCTTCTAACTTAATAGAATACTTGTGTAAATTGTTTGGATTGAAATATTTCTTAGTATCCAAGAGTAGTTGTATTTTATAGTCTAGTAATGCTTGATAGATTGTCCTACTTGTACAGTTTACTATTTGTATTACCTTGTAAACTATAATACTATCTGGCTGGTTATATTCCAATTGTCTAACATTCTCAGGTCCTTTCCTAATGTCCTAGTATGTATTCATGTTGTCTGTGAACAGTCTGTATTTCTTAAGAGTGTTGTTTCAATTTGTGGCTCTAAGAATTAGTAGTAGTGTCTCTGAAATATTTATATATGTGTTGCCTTGTGTCTGTAGCATCTTAGATTCCTTGAAACAATAGTTGTATGTGTGTTTCCTAGTCCTTTCCATGTGCCATACATATCTGTAGGGATACAAAATTGTTTCCATACTGTATGCCTTTGCTCTCAAGTGTGAAATGTTATTGTATACACTATACAACTGTCTGTACCTTAATGTATCTGTCTAGTACCATTTCATACAGTCTTAAACGTTTGCTATACTATTCCTTAGTCCTGTAGTCTTATAGAGTCTTGAATATATTGAATTTGCTCTTTCAAATGTGTAGTTTGCCTGCCTGAACTTGTGTTCCATTGTAGAACTCTCTTATTCTATTACTGAATCCTTAGTATTGCCTTCACAAAGTATCCAAATTGATAAAACATGTATATCACTGCTAGATATGTAAGAATCTGTGTCATAGTCTGTAATCAACTCCAATTCTATGTAGTTCTCACTGTCTAAGTTGTCTGCTAACTTATCTAAAGTGGTATAACTAATACTGACATTACTAGATAATAAACTATCATTCTACACATTGTTTAATGTGATTGTATTGTAAGTAGGACAATTCCTGGCTAAGTGGTCATCTTGTTTACAAATAAAACATAGTCCTTTCACTCTCATTTCATCCAATTTCAATTAGGAATGATGTTTGAAACCTATAGCATATGTCCTGTGATTGTTTTCTGTCTTACTTTCATGCTAGTCATTGTTCCTTAATGGATAATACAATTGTCTGGTCTTTCCTTTGGCATTTGTACTGTTTGTATGTGTAGTATCCTGACTAGAGTCACTATAGTCTGAATTATTACTTTTGCTATCCTGTAGAGTGAATTGATTGTTTCCTGAATTATCAGAACTGTTTGTATACAAATAATCACTCTGAGAATCATTACTGTGTCCTTACAGATAGAATTGATGTCTAGAATCTATGTGCCATTTGATTCCTATAGATTCATTTGCTTTTTCAATACTCTCAAGCCTATCCTTAAAGATTGAATAATCTACAGTGTCTGGATTCAAGTAATCTAATTATAATTGCCTCTAGTACTTGGAATTCAATCCATACTATGCTTGTCTAGTCAAATCTTGCTGAGAAATGTTTCCTAGATTTGTAGCTTTCATCTTTAGATTGTACAAATAATCCTGAACATTCCTATTACCTTGTTTTAAAGTGTTGAACTCTTTTCACAGTATTTTAGCAAAGTTGGAAGGGAAACAAAAGTCTATTAGTCCTCTAAAGAATTAAGCAAGTGTCCATCTATACTCATGGTTTATAATCTTTTGCAAATAGAAATTCATTACTTTTCCCTTAATAAAATCTAGCATTATCCCTACTTGGCTCTTAGGGAAATAATGAAGTCCTAATTGTTTCATGTACTGATTGACTTCAATAACAAACTTTGTATACTTCTGTAAGTCTGGTTCACCTGAGTATACTGTAGGAGCTATTAGTTCTGCACTACACATTTGTATCTTCAATTTGAGGAGTTCTTTGTTCTGTTTCTTCCTCAAGTGTTTCTTGTACTTCTTAGTAGCTTCAGTATCACTCAAATCAATGTCTGACAGTTCAAATAAAGTATTACTTTGATTGTTGTCATTGGATGAAGAGGAATCCGAATTATTACTGTTTGGGTCTGATCCTGGGTTGAAATTTCCCTTTCTCTATATCCTAGAGCTCTGTATTACTCTGTATGTATAACTATTCTTTACTAGACTCTCTGAAGGTCTTACTAATGTGAATCTACCTTTCTGAATATTATTCAGTACTTTGCTATGCTTGTGTCCATTGTTTATTCTTAAACTACTGCTTGAGCTATTCTTATACTTACTATACTTGATATGTGACTTTGAACTGTATAGTTTACTGTACTCTGAATCAATATTGTTCTCACTAATACTACTAGTGTTTGCCTTGCTTGGAACTGCTTTCAATTGTAAAGTATAGTTATAGGATTGTTTGTTCCTTTTATTTTTGTGAGAGGTACTCTGATGTTCTGAAAAACTTGGTATTTCCATTTGAGACTGTATATATCCAGGTATTTTACTTTCTTTCTTATTCCTGAACCTGGCTAGAGTGTTGTATCCATTGTAGTACTCTTATACATTGCTCCTGTACAATGTGTAGTTAATATCTACTATGTATAAGGTTAAACACTTGATTTTGTAAGTGTATACTTGATTTTCACCCTCTAAATCAAGTACTAATTCTTGTAGTTCCAATTTGCATTCACTTTTACTATCCTCAAAGTACTGTTCTGTTAATACAATGTCTGTTTTGCTTGGATAGTCTGAATTGATTTCACAATTGTATTGAATGTCTGGCAGTTCCAGTTTTCGTTCCATTCTTTGTACTTTATGTTTTCCTTTTACTTTGTACTTTCCTTTTGCTTTCTACAAATACAATAGTTTGTCTAGACTCTTGAGTGTTTCTTCTACAGTCTTAGATTGATAGTTCTGATCTCTACTGTCTGTAAGTACTGTAGCATGTCTGGCTTTTGTTCTATAGCCTGCCTAAAGCATTTCACACTTTTCTATTACTATACTATCAAGTCTGCTCTTGTTTGATGAAAGAGTTGCTTTCTCCTCTTCCTAATACATTCTATCAAACTTGTACATTCTCTTATTCAAATTGTCAATGTCTATCAAACTGTAGAATGGGCTAACATGTTCTATGTCTATCTTAATCACTCTAACTCTTGTAATGTGTTTAAAGGTCTTACTTGCCTTCTGGAAATCTTGTTCCTCATCAAATTTCTGTAGTTTCAATGCCTAGCTCTCCTAGCCTTGTCTGTTACTCTTGTTCTTTGAGACCTGGCTACTTTCTTTACTGTCTAAAAGGGTCTTAAGTGTCTTATTACTCTCTACATTACTGTTAGCAATGTGTTTCCATTCTGAAGTAAGTGTGCTCACTAAATACTTATTCACACTCTTACTAATACTGACTATATACACTCTATAACTCTTGTACTGACTTGCAAATTCCTCAATGCTCACTGTTAGCTCTCTATATCAACTTGGTGAATCCTCAAACCAAATTGCCTGTCCTCTATTGAGTGAATCCTCAAACTTGGTAGTCTGAAATTGATCAAGCAAATCCTCAAGCTTAATCACCTGTACTCAGTAAGTTGAATCCTCAAACTCAACCTTCTGTACTCAATTGGATGAATCCTTGAATCCAATTGCCTGTTCATCCTGAACTCAACTGTCTGAATCCTTGAGAACAATTGCCTGAGTGTTTCCACTCTCTATACCTTTGTTTACTATTTCTTTAAGCCTAGTAGTGTCAATACTTGCTAGAGTCTGCTCTACAGTGTGTGTTTGTCTAACTATATGTGCTGGTACAGTTACATACCTTAGTTCTACATTATTAGTATGTACTAGTTTATTAGGGTGCCTCCAGCCTTGTGTAGACAAGGACTTATTACTTAGAATAAGTTCATCAGGTTGTCTCCAGCCTACAAGGGACAAGGACTTACATCCTAGCATGTTAGTATTGATATCCAGACTTGGGTACCCTCTAGGAATCGTCTGTCAAGGCTTGGCAGCCACATTGTAATTAATATCCAATAGATAATCTTGTTGTCCATTGCCTGTAAACTTAATACACACCTGTTTGTTCCTTTTCACCATCACAGATGCCTGGTCCTCAACCTATCCAATCAATGCAAACCTCTAGTGTATCTAGTGCTAGTCCATATCAATATGTGATAATGTGTTCCAGAAGCATTCTACAGTGTTCTAAAGTATTGTGAACCTACTAGGGGCTAATCTAGTAAGTAGTCTCTGTTTCTACTCAAAAATTGTAACTTTACTCACTAAAAACTTTCTGATGGGTATTAGACAATGAGGGAGACCTAGGGTTGATCAGACCCTTCAGTTCCTCAGTGTCCAGCAAGGGGTTTCAATACTAGGTGGGTACAGTCAAAAATATGTAAGGAAACTCACTGTTCCTCACAAGAGAATTCTAATCACCCTTAGTTCACTCAACTACTGACTGGGATAACCTAGTACTCGAGTGAGGGGTTAGGGGAAAAGAATCCCCTTTACCCAGCAGTCAATACTGTCTTTTATAGGGGTATACACGTGTAGATACATGAGGAGGAAGTGTAACTAACTACAATGAGAATATATATGCTTGTGGGTCCTACTGTGCAATGATCTGACACAATCAGCAATGTAGTGATAATAAAATACGAACCAGTAAATCAAATCCTTACACACAACAATGTTGTGTTGCTGCTCATACCTTCTCAGCTATACTGCTGTAGCGTCAAGCATATCACTGTGGATCGACTGTGAACTTAAGTACACTGACTTTCGTACTTCACAGAACTGCTTCTAGTTAAACAAGTTTTCTTATTCCTAATTACCTTTATGTTGAGGTTTTCTCAAAACTCGGATATCCTTCTCTGTTCTGGTCTTAGATGAAGACTATTGACCCTTTTTTACTGTGTAATTCTTGAACACTCGAGAACTCAGGAATTAGAGTTACCTATAACTGACACACTATTTTACATTTGTTATGTTATAGCAAGCACTTCACAATACCGAGTCTGATATTCCTGAGGAACCAGTATATCAACAATGCACCTACTTCTTCTGGCCTAAATAGTATCCCAGCATTCCTGGCATGACTTCCGCCCAGCTCTCGCGGGATGAAATTTCATTCCACCACCGTGCAACGTTAGGCAACGCCTCGAATCCCTTGAAACCAAGTACCTCTGTAATAAAAGTGCCGAATGGAAGGTGAAAAAGGTCTGCAAGTGTAAGTTCCTGTCCGTTCCACTGAGTATTGTCCTTTGTCTAATAGGACTGAACAGACTTACATTACCAGCGAGGTACTTCTGCTTGCTGAGGATGCGTTCGTATCCCTCTAGTTTCTTTTCCAGCGTTGAGACGTACTCGGCAGCTCGTTCATCGGATCCTTGTACACCATGTGCTCTTTAAACAAAGTAAATACGTGTTTATACGAGAGATCGGGTTTGCTCACGGTTTGAAGATCTTCTCTAGGGCAAATCCGGAGGCATATGGGTAGAAATCATTGTTCTCAATCGACACTGCTTGCTCAAATAGTGCATTCGCCTTTGGATCCTTCGGGATAAGCTTGCTGTCTGGAGTGTGTTTCGCAACCAAGTAGCGTGCAATCGCGCGGCTTTCGAAGAGCTTGAAGCCATCCTCTTCGATCTACACGATGTATACTTTCGTCAGCATCCTGAGGTTAAGTTGTACACGAGCAAATACTGTCAACGCACAAGAACAGGCATTTGGCCAAAGGGGTGCTTTTGAGTGAGGTAATCCTCTCCCTTCATATCAGGAAAATTGACCGGTACGATGTCGTACGGGACATTGACCTCTTTCAGAACAACTGCGACCGTACAGGTGCACACCGAAGGAGGAAGTCCATGAATCTTTACAACCATGTCTGCTGGCAAGGAAGTGGAGAGGTTGTACTAAATCAATGCGTTTGCGACGAATGAGTAGCTCCAGTGTTGAGGACTCAGCGCTCAGGTGCTGCCCTATATATCCTCGCCTGCATCATTCTACGTACGGACTAGTCCTCCGGTAACCGCATCAAATAGTTCTTAGCCACAGCTGTAGCCTCGGATTCATTCCCTAATATGGTGCGTGCTTTCAAAGTACTCCCGGTTCGGATGAATCTCCTCACGGGCTTGATACAATATCACATGCAGAAGCAAGGTTACATAATACAAAAACAAAATGCCTTCTCTCTGAAAAAGACGTCGAGTCGTCGACATCGACAAGTAGCTTTCCCTTCGACCGATCTATGCCTCCGATTCTTAGGCATTGAAGGCTGTTGCAGCCAGTGCGAGATTTTCAAGTGAAGGAGCGCTCAAAAATCGCGCAGTCCAGCGCATCAGCACAGGTGACCTGCGACCGCAAATGTGCGTTTCATCAAACTGCCCATACTTACCCGATACTTACATGGGTTTATGCAAGGTTCCTAATTCCTGACTCCATTACGTTTGCAACGGAATCCTGAAAATAGTGTGCCTTCTCAAGTCTTGTCTTTGACGCAAGCCACTATACTTCACATCACTTGTCTTCAGCTATTGTTGGGCCTGGTTTTGCTCATGGTGTATACTTATTAATATTATGTATCTAGGGTTATGCACATTGCAAATCAGTTTCTTTGAGACTCTGACCCTCAATTAATCTTGTTCGGCCAAGCATCGTGGTTAGGATTCCAGCAATATCATAATAAATTTGTGTCGATCATGACAAGTGTGGCAGGGTTAGGTTTGACAAACGCGCTCTCAATTGACATTACGAGACAAAATGAATGCATATATCAATTAATTTCAACAGTTTCAATTGCAGTGTTACTACGTTACACACATATAAACAACGCATTAGTTTTTCTTTGCGAAGAACTCCAGCATCATCAGCTTAATTTCTTTCCAACTATCACGAGATGAAATGTCGTTCCACCAACGCGCAACGTTAGGAGTTGCTTGGAATCCCTTGAAACCGCATCGCTCCGTAATGAGGGTGCCGTATGGAAGATGCAAAAGGTCAGCGAGTGTGCGTTCCTATCCATTCCATTAAGTGTTTATTTCATGCCAATAAGGAGCAAACAGGCTTACGTTACCAGCGAGGTACTTCTGCTTGCCAAGGATACGCTCGTATCCCTCTAGTTTCTTCTCCAGTGTGGAGATATGCTCCGCGGCACGTTCATCGGAACCTTGTGCGCCATTGAAACTTTCAAGGCAAGGAAATGAATACGCGTAAAAACGAGAACCTATGGAACTGCTCACGGCTTGAAGACCTTCTCTGCAGCCAACCCGGCGGCAGAAGGGTAGAAGTCATTGTTCTCAATCGACGCCGCTTGCTCAAACAGCGCGTTCTCCTTGGGGTCTTTCGGGATGAGCTTGCTGTCTGGTGCGTGTTTCGCAATCAAGTAACGTGCGATCGCGCGACTTTCGAAGAGCTTGAAGCCATCATCTTCGATCTAGACGCACACGCGGTATCGTAAGTACTCAAATATTAACCGGCACGAGGGCAATGGAGTAACACACAAGAACAGGAATTTGACCGAAGGGGTGTTTTTGCTCAGCATATTCTTTGGTCTTCATATCAGCTATTGTTGAGAGGGAGAACTTAAAGGGGGGCACGCATAGACAAGGGGTGAGGTGACGATTGACCGCTCAGTGTCTCTCGTCCTTATATTGTATGTATTCTAACTGAGACATTATGAAGTCATTGTCTCGTGGTTCGTCCGTTGATGAACTAATCATCTCATAATACTCCCCTTCAAACTCTTACTAGTCCGAGTAAACTGGTAAGATGTTTGACTTGTGGTACATGTAGTGCTTTAGTTAATATATCTGCTCGTTGATTGTTCGTCCGTATGTATTTTGCATTTATGTACTCTAACTCAATGTAGCATTTAATAAAATCTTTCTTATGATCTAAATGCTTTGTTCGTTCCGAATATTTAAGTTCGTCTGATGTAACTGTTTGTATAACAGCATTGTTATTGCAAAAGATATTAATTGGTGCATCAGAGACCTGCAGAATCTCTTCAGCTAAATGAGTAAGTGTGATCGCTTCCTGTGTTCCTCTTGCAAGAGCTATTAATTCAGCTTCATACGTTGAATTTGCCACCAGTGTTTGTCTTTTACTTGACCACAAAACTAATGAATCACTCAAGTAAAATGCATATCCTGATATTACACAATGCCCTTCTTGCATCATACTGTCTGCGTCTGTATAGCTATTCAATATTGATTGATTTGTGCTGCTGAGTTGGAGCCAGACATTGTTCATAGTTTTTAAGTACATGTAACAATGTTTAAGTGCCAGATAATGCTCCATACTGGGGTCATTGAGGTATTTTGCTAACTGATTTGTTGCAAATGCTATATCTGGCTGTATACAGTCTGCAATGTATCTAAGTGCACCAACCATATTCATGTATAGTATATCAGACATTTGTTTTCTATTGTTATCAGTTTGTGATACTGTTTTTAATTGTGTACCAGGCTGTATGGGTGTTTGTACACTTTGTTCATTTGTAAGTTTGTAATGTTCTATTATACTATTAATATAACGTGTCTGACGCATCCTGATGAATCTATGCTCTCTGTCACATTGAATCTCTATACTAAGTAGCCAGTGTAATTTGCTGCTGTCTGTATATTGTAAATGATGTGCAATAGATTGTTTTATCATTACAATAGTATTATTATTCTTTGCTACAATAGTAATATTGTCGACATGTACAAATAATATGGCTACAGTTATTTCTTTCTTCTTTGCAAAGAATACAGTGTTATCATGTTTGGATTTCATTAATCTGCATTTAAGTAGTATATTAGATAGTGTTTTATACCATCTTCTACCAGCTTGTTTTAATCTGTATAGCACTTTTCGTAATCGTAATATTTGTCCATTCTGTAATCTGTCTATTAAGTTACCTGGAGGAGGTTTAACATATATTTCCTTGTCTTCTGTCAATTGTCCATACAGATATGCTGATTTTATATCTATCTGATGTATTTCATAATTATTAGATGGTGCCCATACTAATATTAATCATGCCGTAGATAGTCTAGCAGTAGGAGCAAATAAATTGTCTGTATGATAGTCAAGGCTGTCAATCTGATAGTTTCCTTGAACTACTAATTGTGCTTTATATTTTTCTATACTATTATTGGTGTATTGCTTTATTTTATAGACAAATCATGTTCTGATGATGTTAATATTATCACATGGATTTGTGATTTCCCATGTATTATGATTTTCTAATTGTTTTATTTTGTCTTTCATAGCTGTAATTCATGAATCATGATCCAGACGTTGGATTGCTTCATAAAATGAAGTCAGATCCAATTGTATTTCACTTATTTTAGCATTAAATTCTGTTAAATGAATGGCAATATTATCTTCATCCTTTTTGCTAAGTGCATACATGTGTTTTGTTATGTGTTTATTCTCCATGCATTGTTCAAGCTCAATAGCACATTCTGTCAGTTTCCGTTTTCGTTCCAATCGACATAATTTAGGTTCTACTTCTTTTTTGGTTAATTTAACTTTGTCGTCTGTTAAGTCTGTTGGTTCTGCCGCTTTTCCTTTTTTGTTAGGATCAGTGTTGTTCATATCATTGTCGTCTGTTCTCATTATTCTATTGTCTGTTTCATTATTTTTAATTATTAAACACTCGTTTGTATTGTTGTTTGTATCATCTATTTTCTCCCCTTCAATTTGAGGAGGTTTACCTTTGAGAAATTGAATATTTCGTTTGATGGTAATTTTATTATCGTGCCAAGTTTTATGGCCTTTACTTTCATTGTCTAATCCTATCCAACAAGTAAT